AATTCACTTTCCATACAGCAGTTCACATACACTTTGTCTCATGACATTGACTACAATTTACCACAATGCAACAGCTCCCCTCCCACTTCCTCCCTATGTTACCTCTTCCTTGTGTCCTTCCCTCCTACACACTCCTGCACCCTGAGCTGTCGCTCTGTGCATACTCAGCTCTTTATTCTCCCATGATTGTTCTCTCCATGGAGTGCATCTACCTAATAATATCCTATTAATTATAAATTGAACTGAGTGAGTTATTTATGTAATTGCCAAATCTGGGTATTGGATGGTCTTGGGGATTTCTCCGCAAATAAAACCTAAAAGTAAATGTTCACCTCATTTGCCTGTCTTTTGTTTGGCTGGAAGCCACAGGAGTGGGTCCAATTCCAGACCTGAAGGGCAGCTGGGGGTCGTAGTCTCAGTGGTTCCATCAGGCTCTATCAGACAGCAAACTTGATCTCTTTCTGAGTAAAAATTCTGGTTTGAAACACTGAAGGAAAATTTCAGAACAGCCATTCACAAACATGTCACATTTTTTGAATAGGTGACTTGTGAATAAAAAACTAACTTTTTGCTTCTTGGAGAGTTTCATATTTTGTCAAAAACTTGCTTTTTAAATCATGGTGTTAGCTCTATGACTATCTCCTAATATTCTGTGTAAAATATCATTGAATATAAGAAATAATTTACAAAAAATTATGTCAAAGTTTCTGAGGTAATCAGAAGTCTAGAATGGTCAAAGCCCATTGCCGTTGAGTTGATTCCAACTCAGGGTGACTCCACGTGCTGCAGAGTAGAACTGCTCTATACAGTTTCTTGGCTATCATCTCTACAGGAGCAGATTCCCAGACCTATGGGTAGATTCAAACCCCAACTTTTAGGTTAGCAGTCAAGTGCAAACTCTTTATGCCTCCTAGAGACTTAAAAGGTTCATAGTTCCTCAAAAATCCTTATATTTATTACCATTAGTGTCATGTGAGCCTGCAATGGCTTGTGAACTTTACCTGACTCACTGACTGAAAAACACACATTAAAATGTTCACAGAGCAACAACAGGTGCATGTTTCTGCTTCAGTGACACACAGTGAGAACACTAGGGAAAACAAAAGCCAGATTGTACGTAATAATGGATGCTCAATAGTTAGTTAATTTTAATTTTCCTGGAGATAGAAACATTAGTTATATTTAAAGTTATAATGAATTAAAATATTTCAAGAAACTGCTGAGAACCTTCCCTAAACTATGGCTAGGCTAAGTCAACTGACTCTTGACCTACTTACTATGATGTTAGAATGTTTAAAATGAATGGGTCTCTTATTTTCCAGGAATAAGTTTTAATGATGAAAACAAAGTCAAGTCCTCTCTTAGCTCAAACAGGCCGCTACATATGGTAAAGACAAAATATAATGCTGTTTCTAACAGGAGGAAAAAGTTTCAGAAGGAAATAAGCAGTATTTACCCCTTCTTCTTCATTGCTTTCTCTAGGGTTTTCTCATGAGTCGACTTCTCTTTGTCATACTGCGCCACAATTTTGTCAACTTGCGTGCAGTGTAACTTCTGCATGGTACTGTGCTCCTACACAAGAAGAATTTGCAGTTACAAGTGGGACCATTAATGTAGCTGATTAACTTAATAAAATCTTAGGTTGGCATGATTTTCATCAGCTTTTCCACACTCTTGATTTGGAAAATCATGGAGTAACCACGTCTGAAAACTGGATTTCCAATTGCCAATCTCCTCTCCAACACAAGAGTTTTTTTTTTTTTTTTTTTTTTTGCACAGAGGCATCCCAGCAAGGGAGTCCCCAGCCTTGGTCTAATGAACATGCCCATCTCACAAGGCAGTCTTACCACCGCTGGGCAGCACCAATGATCCTAAAGTCCTTTCTTCTATACATATACTTCTTCATCTAATGTCTACCCATTCATTTTTGTTCTGTTGTCTGAGACAGGTAATTAGTATATTGTCCCTTCTGCCAACTGGTTCTCAGATACTCAAGTTCAGCTCAATATTTCTTCTCTTTTACATGCTAAATATAACTATTCAGCATGTGACACAATTTCTAAATACCTGGCACTTTTTGGAACCTTCTGAAAGCCATCACTATACAATGCAACTTACTATTGTGATTGAAAGCATCAGTTGATTTTAATACCTTTGATATTTTCACTGACTTCCATATGTAGACACATTCATAAGGATGATAGAGTATTCAGGAATTCTGGCCTTCAGTTTTGCAGATATTTTAAATATTTTCCCATCTGCTTAATTTAACACTGACACTAGGGCTACAACACTTTGAAAATAATTATTTCTCTATAAACATCATTTTCCTTGGCCAATGAAAAAGGCAATTTGCCACAGACAGAGACTTCTCTGAACTCAGATTTCTTTGGCTGTTCAGATTCCCAAACATAGAAGAAATCAGTATAAGCAGTAGCATCCAAATCTAAAGGACACTTGATATTTATCCTAGTCATATTCTTGAGAAACTTAGAGAAATGAGGTTGTACTGAGGTTGGAGTAGAGAGATGTTGTTCAGTTTATATAACCACCCTGATGGTCACATATTTCCTTTTATTTGTTTAAAAATGTGAGTTAAAAAAAAAGTGAGCAACTTCATTTTTTTTTTTTAAACTATCTTATTTTTTTCCTAAGTAAGGCTCAACATTAAGAAAACTTAATTCATAAAAAATATTTAAAAGATTTCATAAAATATAAATGGGGATACTTACACTCACTCACTGCTGTCGAGTCATATCCCACTTATAGTGACCCCTCCTTGGGTTTCCAAGGTGGTATCACTATGGAAGTAGATTGCCCAACCTTCCTTCTGAGGAGTGGCTGGTGGGTTTGAACTGGCACATAAATTTGACCAGTTGCTGTTGAGTCAATTCCAACTCATGGCTCCCCTACATTTGTCAGAGTAGAGCTCTGTTCCATAGAGTTTTCAATGGCTGATTTTTGGAAGGAACCAAGTAACTAAGTTTGAGTGGACTCAAACCTCCAACCTTTTGGTTAGTAGCCAAGTGCATAAACTATTTGCACCATGCAGAGATTTCTTCTTAGTTTTAAAACCCAAAACCAAACCCACTGCCATCAAGTTGATTCCAACTTATAGAAACCCCAATTGGGTTTCCAAGGCTATAAACCTTTATGGAAGTAGATTACTTCATCTTCCTTCTGCAGAGCAGCAGTTGGTTTGAACCACTGACCATCTGCTTAGCAGGCAAATATCTTGCCCACTATGTCACCAGAGCTCCTTCCTTCTTAACTTTACCAAGTCTTAATTTCTTAGCTTTGTTAGTTAATTAACAGAGAACTTGATGCACTATTTTTTTATACATCAAGTCTTCAAAAATACATTCACTGCATAAAGCATGTGTAGAAGGTCCCAGCATTCTTGTTAACTGGATAAATGGTTTGGGAATGGGCATGGAGCAGGATGATGCTGGGGGAAATTTACTGGAAGAGGTACTGAGAATTGGTACAATGGTGGTGGTCCAAGGTCATGTTATCTTTTTATGGATTTGGGTCAGGATGTTATATGTAACACTGTTTTGCTTAATTTGTGGATAGAACCCCCCATAAATCAATCATATTACCAGTGTGTGTGCATCTTCATGTTATAAACAAATTTCAGTCAGCACTCCTGTATGGTGGCATTGGGCTAAGGGCATGGTTTCTTCAGTCTCAAGTCCTGGGACAAGTCACTTACCCTCTCAGAGTCTGTTCATCTTTAATATTGGGATAATGATACTGACTTCATAGGATTGTCAGGATTAAAAGGAAATCTAATATAAATCATATTTCAAATGCTTGTTATACCTTACCTGAAACAGAGTGATACAAACCTATTTATACTCCTCGATACCTAGTAAATTCCCATGATAGTACATAGAGAGTAACTTGAGACAAGGGATATCAGTCAGTGTAATGAAATCAATTAGCCTTTCCTCCAAGCTTCATCTCCTACCCAAGGAATAGATGAACATATTAGGGTATCTTTATTTGAATGGGTTTACCTACTTTTGCAATGTCTCCAGAAAAGGGAAAAACAACAACTAAAGAAATGTCATTACTTCATTGCCACCACTCATCTGTCAGTTTGTCATACTGTGGTGGCCTGCATGTTGCTGTGATGCTGGAAGCTATGCTATGGTATTTAAAATACCATCAGGGTCACCCATGTGGATAGGTTTCAGTGGAGCTTCCAGAGTAAGACAGACTGGGAAAAAGGATGGGGCCATGCACTTCTGAAAAAATTGGTAACTGAAAACCTTATGAATAGTAGTGAAACACTGATATATTACTGAAAAATTTTATGAACAGTAGTGAAACATTTTCTGATATAGTGCTGGAAGATGAACCCCTAAAGTCGGAAGGCACTCAAAATATGACTGGGGTGGAGCCACCTCCTTCAAGTAGACTCAACCTTAATGATGTGGATAGAGTAAAGTTTTCAGGGCCTTTGTTTGCTAGTTGGGCATGACTCAAAATGGAAAGAAACAACAGCAAAAAATCATTAATAATTGGAATGTGGAATGTATGAAGTATGAATCTAAGAAAATTGGAAGTTGTCAGAAATGAAATGGAACACATAAAGATCAGTATCTCAGGCATTAGTGAGCTGATATGGACTGGTGTTGGCCATTTTGAATGAGACAAGCATATGGTCTACTATGACAGAAATGACAAATTGAAGAGGAATAGCATCACATTCATCATCAAAAAGAACATTTCATTTGACAGTCCCACCAGCTGTGTATGAGAGTTCCAATCTCTCTACATCTTTGCCAGCATTTGTTATTTTCTGTCTTGTTGAACAAGACAGAAAATGCCATTAGTGCTGAGGTGAGATGGTACCTCACTGTTGTTTTGATTTGCATCTTTCTGATGGCTAATGATGGTGAGTATTTCTCATCTATTTGCTGGCTGCCTGAATATCCTCTTTGATGAAGTGTCTATTCATGTCTTCTGAATACTCAGCAAAATTTCCCTCAAATATGATGGTGAAATTAGGAAATTTCCAGATAAACAAAAATTAAGGGAATTTGTTAAAACGAGACCAACCTTAGAAGAGATACTAAAAGGAGTCCTTTGAACAAAGAACCAATAATAGCAAACAACAGCTGACCATTAATACACAAGATGACATAACCCAGAAACCAACAAAGCTGTGGAAGTATCCAAAGTAAAATATGCTTATGAGATTATAAACAGGGAACCAGAGACATCAAATGGCAAATGAGGACAACTTCAAACCAAAAAGGGGAAAAAATAGTGTAGTTACAGAACTTCTATATGGTGAGGAAATGAAGAGAGTTACAAGATAGACTGGACTGTTCTAAATTAGTGGAGAAAATTATAAATCACAGGGTAACCTCAAAGAAAAATGATAAACCTTCACATCACAATAAAAAGGAGGACAAGTACAAATATTTAGCAAATATAAAAACAACAGCAATGAAGGAAATAATAACACAATTCATAAAAAAAGAGCTCACCACAGAAAATTACATGGAATAAAGAAACCAGGAACACCATGAAAAAACACATTAAAAAAATGACAGCCACAAATTCATACTTGTCAATAATTACACAGAATGTCAACAGGATAAATGCACCACTCAAGAGACAGAGAGTTGCAGACTGGATAAGAAAACTTAATCCATCAATATGCTGTCTACAAGAGACACACTTTACAGACAAAGACAAAAATAGACTAAAAATCAAAGGTTGGAAAAAGATATATCAAGCAAATGGCAACCATAAAAGAGCAGGAGTAGAAATATTAATTTCTGATAAAATTGACTTTAAGATAAAAACAACCAAATGAGACAAGGAAGAACATTATATGATCATTAAAGGATCAATCAAACATGAAGATATAACCATGATAAATATCTATGGATCCAATGAAAGAGTCCCAAAATACGTAAACCAGACTTTAACAGAACTGAAAAGACAAATAGATGACTCCACAGTCATAGTAAGAGACTTTAATACACCACTTTCAATGAAAGATAGAACAACTGGAAAGAAACTCAACAAAGACAAAGAAGAACTAAACAATGCAATCCATCAACTTGATCTTACAGACATCTACAGAGTACTTCACCAACAAGAGCACAATACACATTATTTTCCAGTGCACATGGAACATTCTCCAGGATAGACCATATGTTAGGCCATAAAGCAAGCTTTAATAAATTTAAAAACATTGAAATATTGTAAAGCATCTTCTCAGATCACAATGCTATAAAATTAGAAATCAACAATAAGAAGATCAACAGAAAAAGAGCAAACACAAGGAAACTGAACAACACCTTCCTTAAGAATGATTGGGTAAGAGAAGAAATAAAAAATGAATTTAAAAAATTCCTTGAATTAAACGACAATG